CAAAACACTAAGCTGCAAACAATAATAAATCGTAGCCAAAAAAAAAAAAATCTGGAAACCAAGCCATATGAAGAAATGTTGAGGAAGTCGCATATGTTTAGCCTGGAAAAGAGAATGCTGAGAGGTGATATGATAGTCATCTTTAAATATCTCAGCAAATAAAACAGGTCTGTAGGTTTAGCTATTTGAGATGAAGAGACAATACACTAGAAAAATCAAAACAATTAATGGTTTGCATTCAAGGATTAAATAAAATGTGCACTTTACAACAAAATGAATTAAAGCACTGGACGAAGTTGGCTCTTCTATGCTATTATGTACTTTGTGCCAAATTAACCCTTTAGAAACAATTAATTTGCTCCTAATTTCCCACAGATTCTCCAGCTCAAGAAGCTTTCAACAAGCTGTGGAAGAGGTTTGGGTAAAGACTGCAGATTCAGTAGTTATAATCTCTGTTGTTCACGTCGTCAATACTTTGATTTGAGAGACAGATTCTCCAACATCTTTGTGGCTCCCTTAATGTGAATTAAGTTATGTTGCCTTTCTGGACTTCACACATCTAAATGGTTTCTCCTCCATGTGGATTCTCACACGGTGCTCGAAGCCTGAGCTCTGACTGAAGCCCTTTCCACACTCCATGCATTTAAATGACTTCTTCCCTGAGGGGATTATCTTCCACATTTTATGCATTTGAAGGGCTTTTCTTATGGGCTGCAAGCTGTCCATTCTGACTGAAGCACTTTCTGCATTCCAGGCACTGAAAAGATTTCTCTCCTGTGTGGCTCCTCTTATGACAATTCCATTGTGTGCTGTGGCTGAAGCTCTTTCCACATTCAAGCATTCAAATGGTTTCTTCCCTGTGTGGATTTTGAAATAGTAAGCAAAGTTTGAGTACTTTTTCCACCTTAAGAGCATTTAAATGGTTTCCTGTTGGATTCTCTTATGGGAAGCAAGGTATGTGCTCTGACTGAAGCTCTTCTCACATTCTAAGCATTTAAATGGTTTCTCTGTGTGAATTCTTTCATGGGAAACTACAGTTGTGTTATGACTGAAGCTCTTTCCACATTCCAAGCATTTAAATGGTTTTTCCCTGGTGCGGATGTTCCTATGGGAATCAAGGTGTGTGCTCTGATTGCAGCTCTTTCTCCATTCCACACATTTGAATGGCTTCTCCCCTGAGTGGATTCTCATATGATGAGCAACGTCTGCATTCTGACTGAAGCTCTTTCCACATTCCAAGCATTCATATGGTTTCTCTCTCTGTGTGGCTTCTCACATGGGAATCAAGGTGTTTGCTCTGTCCGAAGCACATTCCATATTGCAAACATTGAAAAGGTTTCTCTCCCACATGGATTCTCATGTGACAATCAAGTAATGAGCTGTGGCTGAAGCTCTTTCCATGCATTTAAAGGGTTTCTCTCCTATGTGGATTCTCTTATGGGAAGTGAGCTCTGACCCCAAACAGAAGCACTTGTCACATTCAGCACATTTAAAAGTTTTCTCCCTATTGTGGATTCTGACGTCATAATTAAGGATTGTGCTGTGAATTGAGTTCTTTCCATTTCCAAAATCTTCCCTAGTGCATGGAATCGGATGCGTAAAATAGGGTTGGTTCTACTAGGGAAGCTCTTACCATATTCTAAGTACAGTTTCTGCTGTTTATCAACAAATCAAAATATATATGCTGAAATATGTATGACATCTCCTCTGACACATCAGTAGCGAGAGAGACCAGATTGGCTGCATTCTCTTCCATTACTTCCTGATACAGACCCCTTTGGCTTGGATCCAGCAGAGTCCACTCCTTTTCTGCAACATACACAGCAATGCCCTCTGTGGTCACCATTACACCCTTTGGGTTCAGAGAGAGGTCTGGGGGAGAGAAGCACCCAGCAGCTCTACACTGCTTGGTACCAACTAGGCCAGGTTACACAAAAGCTGTTTCTGCTGTTCCAGTAAGAAGAGGTGAGCAAGGATAGGTCCCCAGCATCATGCGAAAGATAAGCTCTTCTGAGGCATCTGATATTCTCTTCATGGTGTTTGTTAGTTTCTCCTAAACAGAAGGTGCCCTTTACAAGTATCAGAGACACTTCCTGGCCCCAGGAGACACTACAGTATTTAAAAGCTGACATGGAAGACAGAGCAGGCTTAATTTCCATAGCTCCACAGAATGGGACCCAAAACAATGAATTCAAAATATAGAAATGGAAATTTCAGCTAAAGATTAGGAAGAACTAATTGAAAGTAAGAACAGTTTGACAATGGAACTGGCTACCCTAGAAGGTGGTAAAGTCTCCTTCACCTGAGGTTTTTAAACAGAGATTGGATGGTTCTGTCAGGGACACTTTGGCTGTTGACTTCCTGCTTTGTCAAGGCATTGGACTTAATGACCATTCCAGCTCCACTGTTCTATAACTCTATGAACTAGTGTCCCTGAGGTTCTGCCTAACTTGGGAAAATGCAATTCCAGTCTCAAAAGAACTTATGCTAAAGCATCAAAGATCCACCTATTGCAAAATCCACCTGAATTGACTTGACACTCATCCATTCTAGATATATGCTTGGCTTTCTAATCAATTATTAGTTATTGGATGTCGCTATGATATATAATGTAAGGAACCCAAATAAAAGAGGTTAAGAAATTCTGTACTGTATTTTTCTGTTTATAAACACAACCATTCAAGATTTATTTATGTGATCTGGTTCCTTCAGGAATGCCTGATTAATTGGAAAGCAGGCTGGTTATGAGCTTAGTCTGTTTTAAATCAGTTGAGTACAACTGGCTAGTAGGTTAGAAAGAGGATAATATGAACTACCTATTAATAAGGTTGAAAGTCAGAACAATGTAAGTTGCAGATCATTGTTACCTTGAAAAGCATCTTCAATCTCCTCTATTTTAGGTGCTGATTGATTACGAAGTAGTGTGTACATGGACATGACAATCCCAGGAGTGCAGAAACCACACTGTGACCCATGGCTTTTTGCTATTCTTTCCTGGAAGAATGAAAGTGGCACTTTAAAAAACAGTACATAATTCTGCAATACTGGTTTCCTCAATTACTGTAGTTGCTGTGGGGCTGAATAAATTCTCATTGAAGATGAGTAACATGAAGGAGGCACAAAATGCTGAGGCCTAATTACTTAAGTAATAATAACTAATTACAATTACAGTGGTATTTGTGGAAACAGCAAAGACTTCTATGGCATCTTTGAAGATTAGGAGGTTTATTATTACACATGTTTCCATGAATTACCATTCACTAATAATTGCATCAGTCTTCATTTTATGCATTTCCTCTAAAATTATTGTTTACAATTACTCCTCAGTCTGAGTGTGTACGTGAGTGTGTTTAAGAGAGAAAGAGAGAGAGAGAGGAGAGAGAGAGTTCTGCATTCATTTGTGGAGTGCAAATCACAAAAAGTATGCAATTTTTAAAATGTACAACTTTTGTTGTTGTTGTTTAGTCGTTAAGTTGTGTCCAACTCTTCGTGACCCTGTAGACCAGAGCACTCCAAGCCCTCCTGTCTTCCACTGCCTCCCGGAATTGGGTCAAATTCATGTTGGTAGCTTCGGTGACACTGTCCAACCATCTCATCCTCTGTCATCCCCTTCTCCTCTTTCCTTCACACTTTCCTAACATCGGGGTCTTTAAAATGGTGCAAAATCTTACATAAAGAATGGTTGTTTCACATGTTTTCACAATGCTATTTGATTTTAAATGGCGGTTTCATTATCAGTGGAGGTATCAGTCAAATCACTGGAATCCTTTGTTCTTTCATCAGTTAAAAAATTCTTTTCCTCCACTAAACTAGTTTTATGGATTCATTCTGTTTCCAATATTTTATGAGGTTTCACAGTTTATCTTGCATGGCTTTTCAGTATTTATTTATTTATTATAGCTGAAAATACTTAAAAGTCACCATCCATCCTAGGACAGTGGGAAACAACAGAAGCACCAAAAATACATCATTATCATATAAATTAAGAAAAGAAACACAGTAATGCTATAGAACAAACAGAACCCACCATTCATAACAAAAAGATATCAAGCTGGAGATGAAATAACTGCAATGTTGACTCAGAATTCAACAATTGATTCAGTGGGTCTATTCTAGCAGCGTTTCTGGTTCATATATTTACTTATTTTATATGGATTATAGGATGATGTAAACTTCAAGGTTGCCTACAATTATTATACAATACATATGTTTAAATAAGTAAATATTTAAATATGTTTTCTGCTTTGCTCCCCAAGAACAAGGTATTTTCAGATTACCCTCAGCAAACCATAATAAGTTCTTCAGCTAAACAGTTCTGTCCTAATTCATATGCAAGTTCTTGAATAGCGTCTCTTATAATGGTGGCATTAACTAGAAAAAGTCTAATGAAATGAGCCTGGTAGCTACCATTGATGGGTTGGCTAGAACCAACTGTTTTAGGCTCTTTCAGCAGCAGAGAAAGATGACAGAAGAGTCCAGACAGTTTGTCATAAAACACTACAACATGATAGCTTACCTGTACTGGATGCAGCCTCGTCTTTGTGCTTCCTATGCCTTCAACAGTAGTTACTGCAACATGATGGAGGGCACAAATAGGGAATAAACAAGCATTTGCAGAATAGTGCCTGGAGTTGTGTGGTAAGGATCAGCTTGCTATGTAATATTTGGTGGTACTACTAAACAAAGGCTGGTTCTTAACTTTTTAACTTAAAGATTTGCAATTGTTTTTCAATTGTATTTATACTTGATTTTTAAAATCTTGCTGTTTGTTTAAGCTTGGGTTCCCCTATGGAAAGAAAGATGGCATATAAATGATTTAAATAATAAATAAATAAATGAACTCATGCAGAGCTAATTTACGGCTGAGCTGCTAGCCATGTGGTGAAACTGTAAGATAGGCAGCAAGATGGAGGAATGTGTTCACACAAATGTTCTCAATGCAGAAGAATTCTCTTTGTGTATAGAATTGCTTCTGCACAGATGTATGCATTGTCTTTTCTGAAAAAGGCTGCTTATGTTTTTTTCTTGGTCAAGAACAATTCAGAATTCTGCCATTGACAGACTATACGGACAACAATGGCTCAAATTCTGAGATTTGTTAGAGGTTACTCCCCCCCATGTTATAGAGCTTCATGGGCAGTCCAAAAATTTAACCGTCAGCCAGGTTGGTTGGTTGGTTGGTTGGTTGGTTGGTTGGCTGGCTGGCTGGCTGGTTGGTTGGTTTGTGGAACTTTTATGTTGCCCCATTCATGCATATCACTATTGTGGATGATTTACAAAAAACAAGATAAATTAAAAACCACAACAAAACATATAAATCAAAACAACAACAACACTTGTGCCCCATGAATTAGGGTTTCATCATCATCATCATCATCATCGAACTACAGAGCTGGAAGGAACCCTACAGATAATCAAGTCCAGCCTTGGTTAAGAAGACCCCATCGGGAATCAAACTCCAAACCACTCAGCTCTCCAGCCAGTCGAATTACTGAGCCCAAAATGTGGACGTTTTGCATCGTCGTCGTTGTCATAGAGCACTTGCCCCTTCCTTTCTCTGCCCATTCGTAAATTTCCACTATCATGTCAGACTATAGCTATCCCACCTGGAAAATAAATAAATAAAAACAATCCTACAGCAGAATCAGCGAATGAAGATGTATACCAACAGAGGCATTCACATGTATCAAATTGATTTTTTTGTCCACATTAAATTAAAAAAAAACCTTTACCAGCCCTGTGAAATACATCACTTCCATTTTTTAACAAATCCTAATTCCTGGGCATACAAAAAATATACTTCCATGTGTGTCATGTAGCAAGGATTTCTAAAATCAATTTTATTTAAGCAAACCCCAATTCAGCAGCAGTTCTTATTGCCGTATAACCGAATCCTAAGACAGAAAGAATGGCACTGTGACTCCCTCAGAAGACTAGTGATAGAAAAGACTGAGATAGAAAAAAATGGAACTGTGACTCCCTCAAAAGACTAGTGCCATACTCTGTTACTGAATTTCAAACATTTCAGCATGGTCTGTCATACAAAGTAAATTTCAGATCTAACAAAATGAATAAAATCCAAATTTTCTAGAAAAAAACATATTATTGCCTAGTAGCCACATATTCAATTGCCAGTCATAACCACAGCATAAAGTTGTCATCAGTCCACAAGTCTACAATACACTGGAAGAGAATGCTTTTTAAAACACTTCCTGTCAACTGTTCATACCATGATCTGGACTAAAATTGAGGTTTTGTGAGAATCAGATTTTACACAACAAAACTTTTCTATCTCCTACGTATCGGATTCCTGCATTTAAGACCTGTTCTTCCATCCCAGTATGTGTGGTTTAAAGGATACACAATTTTCTTTTGGAAGCGATCAAACTTGGAGATCATAACAGTGCAGGCACCGCATCCACCTTCTCCACAACCCAGTTTGGTTCCGCATAAGCCCACTACCGGAATTGCAATTAAGGGAAACAGAGAGACATAGGAAAATACCTAGAAATTCTTAAAACTGGAAACGGCATGTTACAATTAGGAACAAAGGTTACTCAGATTATCTCTTAACCATTCTGCAAAACAAGCTGAGCTGAGATAGCAATTTGTCCATCTCTATGTACAGGTTTTAATGCAGGATTGGACAAAGTGCAGCCATCCAAGATGGCTTTTATGGCCCAGCCCTATTTGGTTCCTTCTTTTTCTATCAAGAAAAGGGGATGAATTGCAGCTTCTAGAGACTTCCTGGAGTGATGATTCACTTTATAAATCAGTCACAATTCTGCTCTAAGATTTAATATCCCACAATTCCAAAAATTTTAGCTACTATCATCGGCTCCCCCTCCAGGTTCTGAAACTGGCCACACACAGATGCCGAGTCTCCTGGGGGCAGGAAAAATGAACCCAGGCACACCAATGTTTACGCCTTCATTCTTGAAGGAATCCTTGTTGTGCATCATTGTCAGGCCTGGAAATGGGTGAAGGAACAGGTTATACAGAATTCAGTGATGTCTCAAATTCTTCAGGACTTTGACCCTTCATCCCTGCCCTATCAGGCAACTATGACATGCCTTAACCATTTAAAATCTCATGTACTGTGTGCTGCATGGCATCGGATACGTTTCCGTCGAAGGTATGTTAGTAGAGTGGTTTCTGGGTCCACGTTTTCCTCCACCACCTGAAAGAAAAGACACATAGGTTCTTGAATGAACATGTGCCATGAATTCCATGTCAAAAAAACATGTTAGTGGTGCCACTTACCCAGCAATGGATAATATTCTGTGAGACTAGAACATTTCAGCGTTTATCAGTAAATCTCCGTGATCATCAAGCACCTTTGACAATTGACCATTTCTCATATGATCGATTGCTTTAATATTACTGTGGCATGTATACATGGGCATTTAACTGGCTTTTTAAAAGACTGTTTTGAGGAACTTATTAATTTAATCTGCTTTATACTTTAACTTCTTTTAAAGACAGTGTTGTTATCCACTTTGTCACTCTATGGTTTCACTGGAGAGGTAGAATATATGCAAACCTAAAACTACACAAATAATGTTCTTAGCAAGGTTTAATCTACGACTGAAGGAAAGCTCAGGCAATGCTTCTCTGGAATTCTTTCACAGAGATTTTTCTGCCCATAGCATGGCCCTCTTTGGTTCTAGATGGCATTCTAGCTGATGTCGCCGAAGAGTTGCCTCCCCATCCTCTCCCGTTTGGAGAGGCAACCTCCCTGTTCTGTCTTCAGTCCACCAACTCCAGAAGCCTGTAGTGGAACCGGACATTGTTCAATATACTGTGGTACTGTACTGCAAAATCCAGAGATCAGGCTGGTGCTTCCTGTAATGGCACTATCCTTCCAATTTTCAGTGCAAGAAAAATTGGGCCCGAATACATGTGTATTTATTATTCTGAAGTAGACTTTGTGGCATCCACCATTTCATTGAACTTGGCTTGGCTTAAGCCCTGCCCCAGCCTTGCTTTTCCCACTTCCAACCATTGACCAATATTCTTGCTAAGTTAGCCATTTTTCATTATTCCTTGCCTTTGTGTCTTTGTCCATAGGCTAATCTTTGTTACCACTTACAAACAATGTTTTTGGACAATCTTCTCCCAAATGCTGGTAGAAGCTTTGTGATTTTCATCTGTTTCCAGATACTGGCTTTAATGTTTTATGTAGATTTCGCTTCTCTTCAAAAACCAAACCTTAATCTCCAGTTCCCTACATGTGCAGTATATGGCGAGTTCTGTTCAGCAATGTGTGTCTGCCAGCAAAAGGGATTCTTCTGCCTTGCCTTTCTCTAAATCTGGTGCGGAGATCTAGGGAGACTCTCCATACTTTCTCCAATTTGGGCAGAGGCAGGGAGAGTGCAGGGGAAAAGAGAAAGGGGATTGATTTCTCATGGCATGGCGAGAAATCTGCTTAAGGTCCATCTTGTTTTGATAGACAAAGTCAACTAATAAGTATTGGGAATAGGACTGAGGAGAAATTGCAATCTGACAAACAAAAATACCTATATTTTTGAGGAGGCAGAATGAACAACACAAGGTTGGTGGGTGATTTAAAAAACTGGGAGGGGGGAGAGAAGGAAGATGGTAAATGAGCTAAAAGTTCTTTTCGGATTTTTTTTTTACATTTTAATCTAATCTAATTTAATTTAATTTTTATGGGTTTTTTAAAAAAATATTTTAGATCTACACAGGTGGCAAATGATGCCAGCTTGATCTTGGAAATAAAAATTCACCTTCCTTCAGTACATTTTTCAACAGGGATTCCCCCCCCCCTAAAAATTAAGCAATAAGTATCACTGGTCTTATTCTCTTCATGATGTTTGTTAGTTTCTTAGTTTCTCCTAACTTTCCATTGTTAGGTTTCCTTAGCATCATAATTGTATTTTCTTTTTTTGTCTTTTAAGTCATACTGGCAGTATGCTCTCTTTTTTTAACAAAACCTTTCCCAAATTCCAAACGTCTTCCAAAATTCATCAGAAAGAACTTGAGATTTAAGCAAGTCAAATGTGGGAGAAAGCAACACTGATAGATTTAATCATCCCTTATATTAAGCCTAGAAAACTACATGTTGGATTGTTTGTAATATTGCTTGCCCTCCTATCATTCTAAAACTGAGCTTTGCTTTCCAACTTTGCCCTCAGGGTCAATGAATGAGATTTCTCCCTCCTTCTCTTCAAGGCTAAAGAACATCAAGTTCTGCTTTGTTATTAACAGATTATGTAAATACATTTCTTAAGCACCCGTGCCTGGTGGTGTGATGTGATCATATGCTCTTGCATTTTATCATTATATGAAAGTGTACACTAACATTACATAGCCTGGGTTGATAAGAGATTCCAAACAGACAACGGAGAGCATTTCTGCGCACGATGTCTCTCTATGCCACAAACTGTGGTGACAGGCACCAGCTTCAGACAGCTTGTTAAGGGGGAATAGACAAATTTCAGGCAAACCAGATTGATAAATTGTGCAGAAACGATGTTTCATAATGACAGTAGTAGCCTATTGTCCAGGCAGGGGACACTTCATCCAAGAGCAATAGGGTGAGTCAGTTCCACCCTCCTCAGAAAACAGGGAACTTATGGGCATGCAGATATCTCCCGTTGAATAGCAGGCATCTCCAGGTAGGGCTAGTGGTAAACCCTTTTTTAAAAGCCTGGAAAGCTGCTTCCCACCAGAGTCAGCAACAGTGGGCTAGATGGATCAGTGGACTGACTGAAGCTTCTGCAGTTCCGCATGTTCCTGTATTCCAAAGGAATAAGCCACTGAACATCAGCTGTTAAGCAGTAAAAGGCAAAAGAGGGCAGTGCTCTTCAGTCCTCACGTCCAAGCTTCTTGAAAACCTTGCATGGTGGAAGACAGAGGCTGGCATTCACTGATTCTTTGACTGAGCAGAGCATGTTTGAACAACATGACCAGAGTTCTAATACTAACACTTCTCTACTTATTTAAAGCCTAACAAGATGTCATAACCAACATGTTGGGTGCTGTGTTCATTTTATTCTGTCTGGAATGAACATACTGTGCATGATCGCTGTGGCAACAAGGCTCTGGCCAAGCTGGAAGACAATGGAACAGTTTGAATAGGCTACAAGACTGGATATTTTCAGTGACTCCAGGCCCGGAGTGTACCCTGATAAGATCCTATAGTCATATCGTGTGCCACAAAACAAAGGGATGATTTACTCTCTGGAAATAAAGAAAGGGGTGCAATGTTCCTTTTCTGCCATCTATTAACAGAGAACTGAATTTTAAGGGTGAAGGTAAGGAAGACAACTAGACTACAGTGATGTTAGAGGCATCAGTGGAGCAAAGAAGTAGTTGTTGCTTGGTGTTAGGAGGCCCAGACAGAATCACACTCATTCAGACTCACATTCACAGTTATATACAGATGTGTCTCCATTCACATTTTCTCATGTAATCTTTACTTTTGCAGATTTTTACTGCTCTTGGGCCTTTGGCCCTTGGTTTATCTTGATTTTGAGAGGAGCAACAGTTTTTACAGTCGTTTAGATTACTCCTTCTAAGAGATCCTATACCTCCCTTACACAGAAAGCAATTTTACTACTTTATTTTACATTTTTTCCTTCTGAATTTTTCCCCTTTGGATTCTTCGTATCCATATCCAGGGGATATGAATATGAAGTGGTCCATTCCTGCTTCCCCCTGAACCAACCGGGTCCACTGACCAGGCTCCACATGCCATGCTTGTCTGTCAGCATTATTGTTGCACCAATCATGGAAGTAGCTGCCCCACCTCTCTCCACAACCAACCACTCAGCAGCTGAACAGGGACACTCGTCACCTCACCTTCTTGCTGGAGTGGTTGGCTGTAGGGAGAGGGGAGAAGTGCCAGTGGGACAACTTCCACGATTGGAACAATGACAATGTTGATGGACGCACACACCACCTGGAGCCCCATGAGTGGACCAAGCAAGTTTGGGGAGGTGGGAATGGACCACCATGGCACCTGTGGTGCCACACTTTGTATTCCTGTCCCCTGGATACAATATGAAGTTCCCATGTCTAGTTAGGGCAAATGAAGTGTTTTATAAAGCTCTAACTGTGGCTGATTTTTCATAATTGTAATTTCATCTGATGCTTAAATACAGGTTGTTCTCCTTTACACTTTTCATCTCATCATTGCATTGCAATGTGTTCTAAATTCATTGATTTTACTTTGATTTCTTTTATATTGTACCTCCATTTCATGGGTCTTATTTCCTGTTTATCTGTTGTGATTTAAAATCTTCAAATTAATAGCACCTGTGGATAGTCTCAGACCATTTCTGGTTTCACCTTTGGCCCACTGCGGCAAATAAAGGACCTCAATTTCAAATAACAGGTATGGGGAGAGGCAATAAGGAGAAAGATAACTTCGAAGGAGACAGGTTTGTAGCCCCTAGACACACACCCTATTATGATCCTGCTAAAAAAAAGTTGTAGCTGGGGCCACTGGCAGCTTACCCATCCACCCACATTAACTTTAGTGGGTTTTTTCATTGGGTCTGCAGATCAGAAGGAAGAGCATCCTTCCTGAAGTGTGGTGTCTAGAACTGGACACAATACTCAAGGTGACGCCTAACCAGTGCTGAATAGAGGGAGACTAGCACCTCACAGGATTTTGAAGCTATGTTTCTGTTAATGCAGCCTAAAATAGCATTTGCCTTTTTTCACACTGTTGGCTCCTACTCATCTTGTGATCTACAACAATTCCAAGATCCTTTTCACTTATATATTGCTGAGCCAAGTGTCCCCCATCTTGTAACTTTGCATTTGGTTTCTTTTTCTAAGGTGCAGTACTTTACACTTATCCCTGTTGAATTTCATTCTGTTGTTTTCAGCCCAGTGCTCCAGCCTATTAAGGTCATTTTGAATTTTGTTTCTGTCTTCCAGGGTTTTTAGCTATTCCACCCAATTTTGTGTCATCTGCAAATTTGATGAGCATTCCCTGCACTCCCTCATCCAAGTCATTAATAAAAATGTTGAAGATCACCAGACCCAGGACTGAGCCTTGGGGTACCCCACTTGTTACCTCCTCTCAGTTGGAGAAGGAGCCATTAATCATCACCCTCTGAGTACAAGTCTGTAGCCAATTGTGTAACCACATGACACTTACTTGGTCAATCCAGCCCACACCTAGTCAGCTTGTTAATCAGGATA